GAGAGAACTGCATTTCCCACAGATCAAAGGCTGAGCTGCTGTCCCTAGCCTGTGCCCCTGGCAGAGGCTCCTACTCAGTGCCTCCTGTCCTCAGCAGCTTGTTAGGGAAGCACCCACTCAGCCCAGCCCAGCCCATGGAGTTAGAATCTGCACTGTAGCAAGAGCCCAGGAGATTTCTTTGTTTTTGAGGCAGGGTCTTGCTATGTATCCCAGGCTGGCCTCAAACTTTGAATCCTCCTGCCTCAGCCTCTTGAGTGCTGGGATTACAGGCAGCACCAGCACAACCAGCTTCCCAGGTGATTTTTGTGCATTATCACAGCACCCCAATTTCCACAGCAACCCACAGCTAATACTTGTGGGGGGACTTTTCTGTGTGGCAAGGGCTTTGCACACAGAACCCCCTGTGACCCTTGTCAGCTTTCTGGGGTGGGTATACTGTCATTCCCATGTTACAGATAAGGAAGCTGTAATCCAGAAAAGCTAAGTAATTAGCCCAAAGGCACACGTCTTGAAAGTAGCAGAGGTGGGATTTGAACCCAGCCTGTCTGAGCCCATGGTCCTTCTGGCTTCTTCCCCTTCCATGCTGCATTTCTCCTCTCATAGAGGTGTCGATGGGCAGAAAGTCCGTGCTCTTTCCTTGTTCCAGGTAACCACTGGACTCCCAGGGGGAGCAGATGGTTCTACTGCTCTTCCTGACCATATACTCAGCTGTCTGGAGGGGGAGGGATCACCTGCATTGGAGCTACCGGGGCTTTTGAGAAAAGTGCAGTCTCCTAGGCTGAGTCTTCCGGAATCAGGACCTCTAGGTGGGAGGGGACAGACCAGTAGGTCTGCAGAGTATTGTGTTTCTCACTATAGTCAGAGACCCAGTGTCTGAGACTATACATGGCAGAGATTGCGACACCCATTTCACAGGAAGGCACCGAGGCTCAGTGAGTTTTTCTGTCCATGACCCGGGTTGGGATGTGGCAGACTGGCCAGCGGGATGAGCATTGGCCCAGGAGCCAGGTCCACAGCATGACAACAAACTGCCTGGAGCTCTGTGTGTCTGTGTGTGTCATGTGTGTGCACGCATGTGTGTATGTACACGTGCACATGTGTATGTGCAGCCTGCTAGCTGAGAGTGGGCTTCACATTTTTAAATGGGTGACAAAATTCAAAAGAAAAACATTTGGTAGCACATAAAAATGATGTAAAATTCAAATTTCAGTGCCCATAAAGATGTACGGGAATGTAGCCGTGCTCATTTATTTCTACAGTCATCCTTCGGGCCCCAAGGGATGAGGTCCAGGACCCCTGCGGACAGCAGAATCCATGGGTGCTCAAGTCCCTGCATGAAATGGCACAGGTACATCATCCTGAGGTTACCTGGAATACCCAATGCCGTGGAAATGCCGCATAAACAGGGAGTAACGGCAGGATGCAAAAGTCTGTACTTGTTCAGCACAGATGCAGATTTTTTTAAATAAAAATTCGAGAATACAGAACTTGTGGGTATGGAGAGCTGGCTGCCTACTTTTTATGATTGTTTTTATGCTATAAAAAAGACTGGAGTAGTTGCAACAGAGATTCTATGGCTTGCAAAACCCAGTATTTCTTTTTTTTTTTTTTTGCTTGGGCGTTGGAGAGCAGTACTGGGGTTTGAACTCAGAGCCTCAAGCTTGCTAGGCAGGTGCTCTACCACTTGAGCCAGGCCTTCAGTTCTTTTTTGCTTTAATTATTTTTCAGATAGGGTCTCATGTTTTTGCCCAGGACCAGCCTTTCACTATAATCCTCCTACCTATGCCTCCTGTGTAGCGGGATGACAGCTTTAAGCCTTCATACTTGGCTTCATGGTTGCAATGGGGTCTCACTAATTTTTGCCTGGGTTGCCCTCAAACTGTGATTCTCCTTATCTCTGCCTCCTGAATAGCTAAGATTACTTTGCAGAAAAAAAAAATTGGCAACCCCGGCAAGTTTTTTTGTTTTCTTCTGTTTTTTTGTGGTTTTTGTTGTTTTGTTTTAGTTTCACCATGCTGGCAGTGGAACCCAGGGCCTTCCACGAGGTGAATATTCTATCACAGAGCTACACCTGAATCCTCAGCGTGGCACTTCTCAAAAGCCTGTTAAAACAGCTGCTGGCCCCTTCCTGGGTTTCCTGCTTTAGCACGTCTGGGTGGGGCCAGAGAGCCTGTATTTCTAACAAGTTCCTTGGTGATGCTGGCTGGGACCACCCTCGAGGGACACTGGCTTAAGTAACTTGGTTCTTCGAAACTAACTCACAGCCCCACCCTGGAAGCTCACAGCCCATCAAGAGAGTGGACAGGGCTAGGGGAGAGGAGAGGAAGGAGGGAGGACCTCCTAGGTGCCACCTGACCCTGTCCTTCAGACTGTCCTTCTCCTGGTGTCTACTATCCCCCAGTGGCAGTAAGCCTGGAGCTGGTCTGGATACTTAGCCTTCACAGTGCTCTGTGGAAACACATTTCAAAGCCCCTCTCAAGAGGGCACTTCTAGGAATTTAGTCCAAGAAAACAATCAAGGTTACGTACCAGGACATCATCACCACATCATTTATTCATTAGGAGGTAAGATGGGAGACCAGAGGGCAGTCACGCAGCTATAGTCATAGTTGGTGAGGAACCCAGGCAGGATTTGAACTTGAGTCTATCTGATCCACGACCCAGTGCCCTCAGCTGGCCAGCATGGCCCCTGGGGCTCCTGCCAGTCCTCAGAAAGCATCAAACTGCTTTGATCCCAGTGCAATAAGTTACCTGTTGTGGATGTCAGGCAAGTCACCTAACTTCTGGGTCTCTGTGTTCACATCTGTAAAAGGGGAAGATAACTGTGACAGTCACGTGGGGTGTCACAAAGCACTTGGAGCCATGCACTGGAAGAGCAGGGATCATTCTGTGTGTGAAGCCCCACCTCCCTTCATCTTTGCCCTCGTCCCTCCTTTCTGCTCCCAAACTGGCTCAAAGCACCGTGCGTGGATCACTGGGAAGGCCTGTCAGTCAGGACCAATGGGGGATGAAGGTGGAGAGGTCAAGACTGGGCACTGGGGTTGGGAAGTGGCAGGCGGAAGCAACAGCAGGAGCGCCTGATTGCTAAGGTGAGGGCCCCAATGGTTCATCTCCAGGGCACTGCTGTGAATGCAGGTTCCAGCAGCCCTCCTGGTCATTCCCGTGTTCACTAGGATCAGAACTGCTGGATGGGCCTGCCACTTGCTGGGCTCATCTTGACTACATGGAGGGAACCCTTGCCAGGTGGTCCCAGCCCTGTCTTCCTTGGCCCTTGTTGATTGGGCCAGGCATATCCAGGCCACCATTAGCCCGGGATTTCTGCCAGGTCTGGAAGCTAGTGGGAGGGCACAAAAAGGGCAGTGTTGTGAGTCTCGATTGGGGTCTAGGTGAGGCCAGGAGGCAGGGCTAGGGCTGACAGGCAGAGGGTTGGAGAGGTGTCCTTGCAATGAGGTGGGGTGTTCTGCATGTGCCCAACACCAGCAGCCAGCCCATTTGCTGCTCAGGTGGACCCATCTGCAGGGACTCCTGTCAATAACATCTAGGGAAAGGCTAGGGGACTGCCGGGGTGGCGAGGGGGGGAGTTGTACAAGGAATCCCAAGGAGGTGGAGGTGAACATCTTCAGTTTAGCGAGAGCTAAGCTGAGCACCCACCAGTTGTGTGGCTCCGGGCAAATCGCTTGCACTCTCTGAGTGCCAGATTCCTTAGCTATAAAGTGGGGACATAATTAGGTACCTTCTAGGGCTTGTGTTGGGGATTAAATAAGCTAATATACCCAGAACACTACAGAGCACAGTAACTCAGTCATGGTTATTATTATCATTACTGTTTTAAGTTCAAAGGGTGAGCAGACAATTTGTATTGAAAAGCTTGAGCAGTAGGACGAAATATCTCACTCCTGGAGAAACGATATCAGGTTCAAGATTGGGGCAGGTCACCAAGCCCAAGCCTGAGGCTCAGAAGATAGGGCAGAAGCTATACCCCATGAATAGCATCCTGAGATATGACCAGCCAAACAGGTGGCTGGACCGGTGCTGGGGCCTTACGAGAGGCCAGAATGCTTTAAATCCCTCACACTTCAAAACAGGATTGGTGGAGGGACTTGATGGGTGGAACTAGTAAGGAGGCGCTTAGAGAGCAGGTGCAGGGCTGGGACTCCTAGTCCAGTGGTCTCAACCAATCAGGCACCAGGTACAGGGAGTTGAAATCAGGGTTTCATGCTAGGCAGTTGCTCTACCACTTGAACCACACCACCAGCTCTTTCTGTGTTGGTTATTATTTTTTGGGGGGGGCAGTACTGGAGTTTGAACTCACAGCCTTATGCTTGTTAGGCAGGCACTCTACTGCTTGAGCCACCCGCCAGTCCTTTTTTGTGTTAAGTATTTTTAGAGTCTCATGAACTATTTGCCTGGGCTGGCTTCAAACCATGATCCTCCTGATCTCTGCCTTCTGAGTAGCTAGGATTTACATGAGCCACCAGCACCCAGCTATGTTGGTTATTTTTGAGATAGGGTCTTGTTTTATGCCTGGGCTAGCCTGGACAGAGATCCTCCTATTTGTGCTTCCTGCATAGCTGGGATGACGGGCATGCATCACCATGCCCAGTCATTGGTTGAGGTGGGGGTTCTCTCAAACTTTTTGCCCTGGTTTTCCTCGAAACATATTCCTCCCAATTTCTGCCTCCTGAGTAGCTAAGATTACAGGCTTGAGCCATCGTGGCCAGCACCAGTTCTAAGTGGGGTCAGAGATGAGGAGCATATGGATCCAGCCTAGATGGGGAGATAGGGTGGGGGGAAGGTTCCTTATCCAAGGTCAGTTAAGACTGGAGGATGACCCCTTGATCTCTGAGTGGCAATATGAAGTTGTAATGCAAAGCCCCTCTAGGGGCTGAGGTAGACATGTTGCCTTCGATGCTGTCCCAGGTCATGGGTGGGTGGATCTGCCCTTGAATCCCAGCTCTGCTGCGGGATTGTTGACAATCCCTTCATGCCTTTGGTCCTCAGTTTCCCTCTCTGTAAGCTGGGTGTGAGACAGCCTGTCTCCAAGGAGGATTACTGAGCTGAAGACAAGGTCTAATAGTTCTTGGAGGAGTGTAGTACCTATTCCCAAGCCACCTCCCACAGTTCCAGTCACCTGTAGGTTTCAGAGGTCATTCATTCGTTCATCCATCCATTCATTCATTACTCAGTCATTCCTTCAACCATCATTGTGGAACCCCTACCATGTGCCAGTCGCTGGGACCCAGAGTTGAACTAGACTTGTTGCTTGGCCTTGAGGAGTTTATTTGCTCAGTAATTCAAAACATTCCCAGAGCTGTGCTCCATGCGTTGGCCAGGCAAGAGGTGGTGTCAGGGATGAAGGGAGTGTTGAGGCAGGGGAGGCGCAGGGTGGCCGTGAATGGGTGTGATTCCACCCAGTGGCTCACGCCTCTACATCCGGGAACAGCAGGAATCCAGAGAAGATGCTGTTGGCGCCCTCGATGCCCAGAAGGGAGTTCTTGTCGGTGGCCTGCAGGAAGACCATCTCCCCCTGCTCCAGCTTGAGCACCACACTGCCCGTGGTGACCTGGAAGGTGTTCTGGGTGTAGTCACAGAAGGTGACCACCTTCTGCATGCGGTCCGGCCGCGGACGAGGATCACGCACAGGTTCCCCCGGGAGCTGGCATGGTAGGTGAAGTAGTAGAGGCCGGGCACCCTGCAGGTGAACTTGCCGCTGCGTGGTTCGTAGTTGTTGTTCTCATTGGTGATGATGCTTTCGAAGCGGATGGCCTGGTTCTGTCTGAGGGGAATGTTTGTGTTCCTCATGGCAGAGAAGGCTATTTTCTGTGTGGCTTTGTAGTCTCCCGATTCACCCTTGGGACCTGAGAGTCCAGGGGGCCCTGGGGAACCTTTAGGGCCAACGGGGCCTTTAGGGCCAACTTTTCCTGGGTTTCCGGGAATCCCAGGGTCCCCTTTTTCTCCAAATTCACCATGGTCTCCAGCTAGCCCTGGAAGTCCTAGAAGAACCGAGGTAAGAGAAATGAGGAGACTGGAAGCCATGGAGACAAAGGAAAACCTTTGGGTGGGGACCTTGGGCAGGTTCATGTCTCTCTTCCTAACTGTAAAAATGAGGGGATGTCAGAGAGGACCACAGTTTCCTTCCAGCCCAGCCTTCTGACTCTGATGTACATGATGGTAATGGTGAGTGAGACCCATGGGGAAGGGAGCCGTGTGTCCACCCCCAGCAAGGCTCTGGCCCTGGCCTCGTCTCTGACACACACAGCACCCTTTTCCGCCTTAAGCCTAGGTAGGGATAATGAGCTCACGCACATGGGTTGCCCCTCCCCACTCCCACGCCCGCAGTAGACATCTTTAACCAGTCACAGCAGAATCCTTACTTGCCATTCTAGACAGCCACTACCCTTGGATTGCACACCACAGATAAAAACTGTTTTCCACAGAGCAGCAGAGGGCTGTGTCTGAGAACGTGGGCTCTGCAGACAGGTGTGCTTCTTAGTGACATCTGTCATTATTAGTGGTGTCACCTTGACACTAGTCACATCCTCTGAGGCTCTGCTTCCTCGTCTGTGAAATGGACTTGTAAGGATCCAGTGGGATTATGGGGGAAGAGGGGCTGCACCAAACCCCAGGTAAATGAAGAAACTGTGTGTTGCAGAGGGGTTATCACAGAGAGGAGTCTCATTGGACCCCATGACAATTTCACGAAAGAACTATTATCTCTATTTCACAGATGAGGAAATAGTGATCCAGAGGGGTGAAGCCAATCACCCTGCAGGTCAAGTCAAGCCTGGGACTATGTGGCTACCCGGTGTTCTCTGTCTACCTGGTTGGAATGGGGGAGGTTCCCTGTCTGGTCTAAGCCTCAATGTTCACTGGGCTTTCTTAAGGAGCTCAGGATATTTGCTTGACATCATTGTTGCTGTCTGTAAAATGGCAATTAGAACTCCCTCCTGGCAAGGTTACTATATTTGCAAGTGCTTTTGCAATCTCCAAGGCAGGCAACTGGGCCTCAGGAGGCAGGAGATGAGGCCTTGGTCAGTAACCCTGGTGTGTTCCCAAAGCATGCAGTACCTTTCTCTCCCTTTATACCCAGTGTCCCAGGTTGCCCATCAGAGCCAGGTAACCCAGGGATGCCTGGGATGCCAGGGATGGCTGGGGGCCCAGTGCAGCTGCTCTGTGCCCAGGAGGCCTGGAGTAGACTCAGGAGCAGTGGCAGCAGCACTGAGATGTCACCCCACTGGGTCTTCATCACGGAACTGTCTCAGCTGCCTCCTGCAGGACAGAAGATGTGGCATGTTACTACCATGATGACTCCTGGCACTCATTAATCCATCTCTTTGTCCATCTGTTCATCCATTTATCTATTCATCCATCTATCCATTCATGCATTCGTCTCCCTTCCTTCCTTCCTTCCACCTTTCCATCCATCCATCCATCCCCCATCCATTCACATGTGCACAGATTGCCTCCCTTCCACCAGACACACAAGTCCTGGGGATACAGTGATGACCAAGACCCCTTGAGGTTCCCAGCCCTCAGGAAAAAGACAATAAACATGCAAGTAGATACAAATAGTTGAAGTCTATAATTGGTGCAATGGAAGATGGGAAAGGGTACCCAGAGATTGGGACTGGGCTGGGGTTGGCTAGTTTTGGGAGGGAAGTTCTTCCACCAGGAAGGTGTCCACAGGGGACAGTGATGTTTAGGCTGAGACCTGAAGGTTCAGAAAGAGCTGAGGCATGAATGTTCCAGGAGGGAGCAATGGTGGGATGAAGGCCCTGAGGTAGGACAGTAGTTAGAAGGCTGAGGTTCAACAAGGGAGGCTGGTGTGGCCCGAGGGGAGTGGGGGGTCAAGTGAGTGAAGGTGAGCTTGCAAGGGGCAGAGGCCGATATGAATGCTGGATTCTGTTCCACGTGTCCTCGTTCACCAGTTCTTCTGAATTCAGGGTGTGTATAGGCAGCAGCCACTCACCATCCTTCAATGTGGCTGTGTGGTAGAAGCCATTATTTGTATACCAAAGAGGACACTGAGGTTCAGGGAGGCCAGGCCACTTGCTAGGGGACATGTAGTAAGGAATGGAGTCAATGTCTCTGCCATCTCTGCTGGCAGAATATTCTCGGGTTCCTTGGTGGACTGTGGCTCTGGTGGGAGGGCAGGGTGGCCCCTCCTTAATCCTGGGGAACCAGGAAGAAGGCTGTGGGCTGTTTGGAGCAGGTCAGGCTGGCCAGCATCCCATGGCATTAACTCTTCTAAGGAAAAGGCCCTTAGTCCATCTAGCCCAACCCGTCACCTGTTCTTTTTCTCTTTTTAAACCTCAGGCAGCATTCAGATTACATAAATGAACCAGTTAAAGCGAACATTTTAGCATGTCTCATGCATTTGCAGTGGTGTCCAACCTCTGTCTAGTTCCAAAACATTTTCTTCACCCCAAGAATGGTGAATTGGTCCAGGACTAACAAGCAGCGAGCCACAGGTCCACCTGCACATCAAAGGCTGTCGAGCTTCTCAGCTGACTCAAAACAAGAGAGACCAGGTGCTGGGAACCGCAGGGCTGTGTGGAGGGACCTGGGTTATCAAGCCCTCTTTTGCCTCGGGCTCACTAACATGTTTGGAGCCAAGAGTGCACTGAACTTGGTCTCCTTTAGGGCTTTGCTGCACCTCTGAAAGGCTTTGTTCTCCCTAGAGGAGTCTTGAGCACAGAGAGGTTAGGTAACTTGTCTGACATGACCAGCATATAAGAGGCAGAAGTGGGACTCAGCTCAAGTCTCTGTGGCCCCAAAGCCCTTATGCCAGAGGCTCCAGGGAGGCTGCTCACCCATCCCTGGGTCTAGGGTTACTGCAGACTCCCCAGCTCACCCTTAGACCCTAATTCCAGTGCAGGGGATGCAAGCCTGCACCTTGGGAGTCACCACAGTCCACCACATTGCTCCACCCCAGGCTCTGAGCCCCATCCTCACCTGGGGACGTGGTGTCCTGTGATACCGCTGGGCTGGGCAGCAGTGGGACCAGGAGCTGGGAGTCTGCTGTTCTCTGTCCAAAGCGGAAGTTCTGTTCCCCCTGGGGCGGGAAGGGCCACACCCTACTGGTCCCTTCCCGTGGGCCCAGCGGGCTGGCTGGCCTCTCCGTCATCCCACTGTCTCCCCATCCTGCTGTCTTCAGGCAGTTTCAGATCCCATTTCTGCCACCCCCCTGGGGGTTGGGGGAGATTCCTGTAAATGGATGGCAGGTGGCCAGTTTGGTTTTGCAGACTCAGCAGCTGTGGGGAGAACAGGCTGTCCTGGGGGGTTGGCTTGCCTGCCAGTGCTCTCGTGATCTTTCTCAGGGACCTGTGTTCCTCGACGGAGGATGACGATGTGGCTAGCCCTGTGCCTGTGCTGCATTGAGAGTCAGAGACCCTGATTCTTACTCTGGCTCTGCCACTTGCTGACTAAATGTCCTCAGCTGAGGGAGCCCAGGGGAGCCCCAATTTTCTCCTATGTCTAATGGGACTGTAATTATACCTGCTTGTCGTTCTCACAGGCCACTAGGGGATAATGGGTGGGGAGGAAGGGTGTGTGCTCATTGTTCATGTCACTCCGTGTCCCAGGCTTCCCCTTTCTGGGCTCCTCTCTTCTGCTCCATTCCCGTTCTGTTCTGCACCTCTGCACTTTCCCTGTTTTCAGAAAATAATCTAATAATGAATTTTAAATATATTCATCATTTATTTATACCCAGCATGCTTGGAGCTGGTGACAATAATAGTCACAGGCAGAGGCCTGTTGCTTGCTCATCCTAAAATTACACCAAGTTAGGGCTAGAGTGGAGCTTGGTGGTCACGGGCCCATCTCCCCTTGTTTTATGTACAGGGAAACTGAGGTCCAGGGTGGGGGGAGGGTGAGCCATCATTCAACAAGGATTTCTTGTTAGCCTCTGTCTGCTAAGGACCGAGCGAGAGTTCTAAGCCGTGGTGCCTGTCTCTGCAGAGCTTGTGGGGGAGACCGATGTTAAACATCTAATGTTTCTATGATCAGTGTCCCAAAAAAGCTCACACTGTGCATGAAGGGCAGATGCAGGACTGGAAGCCAGGCACCCCGGGAGCCAGGACCGGCCATCATCATACTGTAGCTGCATTTCAGGCTATGTGATGCCTGCTCAGGAGCCCAGTTGCTTGGGAAAAGCTGCTCACTGCGGGGTGGGGGGGGGGGATTAACAGGAGCTGGGGCCCCTTGGCTCTGGGCTTGGAGAAGGAAAATTGTCAGATTTATAAATGCAGGCGTTAACTGCTCAGGGTGACAGTGAAGGAAAAGACGAATTTGATAGAACCCGAAGGTCTCTGGCTCAGCCAGCTGTAGAACCACTGGGCAAGAAGGAGCACACAGTGGATCCCAAAAAATGGAGAAAGGCGTGGGGATTGCAGGTTCTGGCGTTCATCTGAGGTTCCCAAAGCCATGTGAGCCTGGGCCTATGATTCTTGGGTGGCTGATGGCAATAGGAAAGGTGGGCTTGAACTTGGGTAAATGCAGCAAGACTAAGAACTGGAAAAGCAGAGAGGGAGTGGAGACATGGCTCCCAAGTTTAAACATCTGCTCTGCCTTTTTCCCACCATGTGTCCTCGGGCAGAGGTCTGGCGTAGGTGTCCTTGTATCCAAGTCTGAGCTATGGGTGGCCGTCTCCTGGAGCCGGTTGGTGGGATGGGGTAGGGAGGCAACCCTGCTTTTCCAGGATCAGAGGATGCATGGGAACAGTGTTGCTTACATGGAGAAATGATAATCTGTGGAGCCTGGGGACAAAGGAGCCACGCCTGGGTAGGGGGAGGCCTGGACTTGGGGACTGGGAACTGAGGGGCCCCTGGGCCTTGGTCCCTGAGCAGAAACCAGCTGGTCTCTGAACCCATAGAAGTGCTGACTCGCTTCCTGATAGAGTTTGACCCCTACAGCATGGAAAATGAAATCCAGGTCCCTCAGCTCCCATCCCCCGCCCCGCCCCCTCCCTCCCCATCTCCCGGAAAGGCCCCCTGCAGGGTGGAGCAGGGAGTCTCTCTCTGCAGCCTGCCCTACCCCACCCTTCTCCCCTGCCCCCCTCAGGGCAGCAGACAAGCTGGCGTTTCCTGAGGAAGAGAGGACAACAAGGAAACAATTATGGAAACTAAAAATGGCACGAAGATGGTTGTTTCCAAAGTACAAGTTTCTGATCTGACACTGCAGCCTGTGTAAACGGCATATGATTTTTTAAACAAAGGAGAAATGAGGAAGATGTATCACTTGAGGCCTTGCTCTTGTGAACTGCTAAGTGGTTGATGGGGTGACAGCTGTGAATGCTGTGGCCAGTGACCCAGCTGGGACTGGCCCTGCTGAGGTGCCCTGATGCGGTGAACCAGGAGGGGCTCCTGGGCTCCTGCCTCCTGTCCTTCCCGCATGCATGACTTTCTCTCTCCTCTTCATTCCCATCTCACATGCTTCCTGAGCTCATCGTATGTGCAAAGCATGCATCAAAGGGACCCTCAGCTCAAGGTTCCCATGTCCTGTGAGTTGACAAGGGTGCAAGAGCCAGTCTGTGGACCACGTGCATGAGAATTCACCTGCAGTCTGCTCACACAGGCATAGCTCCGTCTTCTCCAAACCTTTGTATTACCACCTTGTGTCCAGAAAGCTGGTTTTGTTTGTTCATATGCTTTGTGTTAAATAAGTCTGTAGATTAATTTTATTCTCCACCAGACCTGAGAAACAGCTCAAGAGAGTCATGAGTTTGTGATCTAAGCCTGTGGAAGGAGCTGTGGGGTGATGGGGGGCAATCAGAGAAGGGTACCCAGAGGTGGTGATCTTTATGAGGCATCCTGACAGTGGACAGTAGACAGGTGAGGTGTGTGAATGGGCAGGACTCTACATGACAACGGACAGCACAATGAAGTCATGGAAATGTGAAATGGCCCCTTTCCTCTGAAAGGGGCCAAAGCGGATGCAGTTGGTTGCAGAGCTCACCAGAGCCACTGTCATTAGTGACCGGTCCCTCCATGAGCTCCTCAGGCCTCGTGGATCATTCCAGGCCTGCAAACCTGGAGTCTCACTGGGCTCTGAGGCCTGGATCTGTTGCATTTTTGATCCCTTTACACCTGAATATTCAACAGCAGGCCTCCTGGTCCTCTGAGTGTCGTGGCGGGTGGGCCCTGCCCTGAAACTCACAGCCTAAACTTGGTGGCTTGTGAGACCCCCGGTGTCTGTGAGTTATTCGGGTGAGTCAGACATCTGGGGGGCAATTCTCTCTCTATCCCACTCACACTCATCTCAGAGCACGGTGGTGAATATTAAATGAGCTAACGTGTGTGAAGCTCTTAGCACAGTGCTCGGTGCATAGGAACTGCTCAGTAAATGTTAGCTGCTGATTTATTTGCTCATTCCTTCATGTATGCTGCTTTTAGTTATTCGCTTACCCACTTAGGCATTCACTTTTGTTTGTTTTTGTTTTTGAGGCAGGGTCTTCCTATGTGGCCCAGGCTGGTCTCAAACTCATTATCCTCTTGCCTCAGCCTTGTGAGTGCTCGGATTACAGGCATGAACTACCTGCCCAGCATTAGGCACTAATTAGGCATAAATTCACTCCCAGTCACTCATTCATTCAGCATGAACTCATTGAATATTTTGGCTTTACCAGTGCTTGGCTTACCTGAGCCAAGTTCTCCCAAAATTCAGCATAGGCCTGGAAATTCAAACTCCCTCTTGTTCGCCTAGGAACCCCGGGCACCTTTACTGACAGCAGTGTCTCTTCCATCCTCCCTCACCCCAGATGACAGCAGGTCTCCTTGAGGACTTCTGGCAGCCTGTACCCACACTTAAACATCCTACCAGGCTGAAGGGCACTGAAGGTGTCAACGCTGGCAGCCAAGCTGCACTGAGCACCACACAGATGCCCTGAGTTCAGAGCCACAGACAGCTGCAGCAGATGCAAAGCCATATATGCCAAGTTCAAGGCATAGCCAGTGAGGAATCTGGGTCATGCATATTTATCAATCTAATTATTTATTCATTTATCTCCCTGCCTCTTCCAAGACCTGAAAAAGCAAATGACAGTTTGCTTATGTATTAAAGGAATGGTACAAGCAGTGGCCCCCAAGGGAGCTCAGAGGAGGAAGAGGACTGATTGGGCTGGGAATCAGGTGGGCTTCCTGGAGAAGGAGTCCATTAGGTGTTGAGAATGGTCTAGGCAAGGATTTGAGAAGTGGAGGGAGCCGGGCAGCCGCTCTAGTCAGGGAAGAGCAGGAAGCCGGAGAAGACACTGTCAGAGTTCTCCATACCTACCATCCCATTGTAGTCATTGACAAACAGCCACACCTCCTCACCCACCTGCAGGTGCAACAGCACACCGCCTGAGCTGACCTGCTTGCTGTTAGACATGTGGTCGCAGAAGGTGGTCACTTTGGTGCCACTGTGGTACAGATGCACACACAGGTTGGCCGTCTGTGATGTGTGATAGACAAAGTAGTAGAAGCCAGGCACTTTGCAGGTGAACTTGCCTGTGCTTGTGTCGTAATCCCCCTGCGGGTTGGTAATGACCGAGTTGAACTTGACCAGACTGTTGGCTGCTGGGTACACGGAGGTCTGCCGAGTGACGGTGAACACCGACTGCTGTTTCTGCTTGTATCTGCCCTCCTCGCCTGGCTCCCCAGGAGGCCCCTTGGGACCAGGATCCCCTGGCATCCCAGAGGCTCCCATGGGGCCATTTTTCCCATGATGGCCAGGTGTGCCAGGCTCTCCCTTCTGACCTTTGGGTCCTTGAGTTCCTGGGATGGCTGGGATTCCTGGTGAGAGATCAAACAGACAGGAAGTGATGGTGACAGAGAAGAGGGATCAGGGAGTGTCCTTCAGTGTTTGTTCTCTAGAATGTACTTCCTAGATGGACTGTCCACAGGGGAGCACAACTTGCCCCCTGGCTTCCCTATCTCTTGGCCTCAGTTTCCACATTTGTGATGAAAAGAGTAGGACCAGACAGTACCAGAAGATGCCAGGGCAGTGTGTGACCTCAGAATGTCAGAGGAGGGACTGTCAGCCCAGGGTCAGCATGGCACCTTCCATTAGGTCTGCACAGGGTTTTCAACTTTTAGATCAGAGCCCAACATCAACAAATTCAGAACTCACCTAAAAATCCTGGATCTCTTTCTTGTTTATTTATTTGTTTTTATTGTTTGTTCATATGTTTGTTTGGTCAGTTTTTATTTGTTTGTTGTTTTTGAAGGGTTGAGGTGAAAACCAGAAGATCAGTGAGGGACACTGATCCCTGGGAACTCCATCAGCTGCTCAAGGCCATTTGCTTAATTTTGTAGCTGTAATGTTTTTAAGCTTTTCTTTTGAAATAACTATGGAGTCATAGAAAATTGGAGGAAAAGAAAGGACAGAGAGTGCCCATGTACCTTTCACCTAGTTATCTGCAATGTCACCTCTTGCATAAATAAAGTACACTATCAGAACTGGGAAACTGATATTTGCTCAATTCCCAGAGCTTGTTCAGGGCGTGGGTGTCACATGTATAGATTTGTGTTACTGTTGCCACCTCTGCAATCTGCATATCTGTCATTTTGTATCCTTTTTCTTAAAGAAGACCCACAATATTTCCTACTGTGCAGCCTGATGCACAGCCCAGGTTTGCTCCTCACCATGGCCCCCAGCCAGCGTCAGCACAGGAAACCCCTGCATGGAGCTGAATAGAAGCCATCCTCATGAGGGGCTGTTCTTGCCAGCTACCCCAGCCACACTAGCCCTTGAGATTGCATGCCCTGTTCAACTTCACTCATGGTACAGATAAGGAAACTGAGGCCAGAGTCTTGCCCAAGGCCACCTGGCCAGGATGAGGGGCAGTGGGACTCAAGTTTGGCTGAATCCCAGAGGGTCTGGTTCTGTTCTAGCCTCTGGAAATCTGAGCCTCCATGAGATTCTTCTCTCCTTGTCCAGCCTCTATCCATCTTTTGAGGTCCGACTCATCTCTTCTTCCAGGAAGCCCTCCTTGACCACCCCTGCCAGGCCCCATAAGGCTAGGTATGTGTAGATCCCCTCTGTGAGAGACCTTCTATGGCTTGTGGGCCTTTTAGACCCAGGGTTAGGAATAGGGAATCAGGACCCAGCAGATCTGGGCTTTAGGCTGTGTGGCCCTGGGCAGGTGGACTCCCCTTCCGGGGCCTCTGTTTGCTCAGTTGAAAGAAGGCAGAACAGAGCAGCCTCCACCACCCCGGGGTGCTGCAGAAATGGAGTGGGCAGAGGTGCATAAAGTCTGAGCCCAGGCCAGGCACGTGGAAGGAGGCGTCCAGTAGTGTCAGGTCCTGGTGACGCCTCAGTGGAGCTCAGTAATGCTCAGCAGGGCCACATCTCCTCTGGCCTCCACCTTCAAGCAATGGATTGGGAAGGGGAGAGGAAGCAGCAGTGGGGCTGAGAGGCAGCTGAGGGCGGTGGTTAAAGGTGTGGACTCTGAGCTGGACAGGCTTCCACTGTGTGACTTTGGGCAAGTTGCTCAATCTTTCTGTACCTCAGTGTTGACATTTGCAAAGTGGGAGAAAATCACTTTTCTGAAGGATTTTGGCCTCAGTTTTGTCGTCTGGAAAATAGAGCTGACAGTTGCATCTCTCTACTCTGGTCAGCGAATAGCTATAGAGCATTTGGAAATGTGCCTGGCACACAGAGGTCCAACATTTGCACTCAGCCAGCCTGAGTGGTGAGGTGGCTGGAGGAAGCCATCAGGTACAGGATTCCCCAAAATGCCAGACCTGGGGCCTCATTTGGCTCATGCTGACTTGGAAAATCCCTTCTGAAATGTTGGTCAAATTTGACTCTCTAGTCAGGAGGGAAGATGATGGTAGTGAAATTCCTAAGACCTTACTTCTTTCTGCTAGCCTCCTTCCACCTGCCTCTGCCCTCCCAGCTCTGCCCAGTCTCACCCAGGCCTGCTCCAGCTGGGCTCACCCTCCCAGGGATGCACTCTCACTCACGGACAGGTGACATCACACCTGGCCTCCACTCTGGCCTCAACACCAGCTGCCCACTGCAAACTGCAGCCCTTTCCCACGCTGGGACAGTCATGTACCTCCAGCAGAATATTCTGTACTGGGATCCTGGTTCCCCTCCCCATTCCTCTAGTCACCAGCATCCTGGGAGGGAGGAGAGCACAGATCTCTGACCAAGACAATGACAGCAAGGGACTCCACTTGACAGTACTGGCCAGACACTCAGTACTGTTTTATCTGCAAGCTGATCATGGTACCCTGAGAAGCAGACACTACTATCTTCCTGTTCTACAGATGAGGAAACTGAGGCACTGTGATGTTAAGTAACTTGTGCATGTTGTCACAGAGGGCTGTAACCCTGGTGATCAGTGCATCAGATGTGTTCATAGATGGAGCACCTTCCCCAGGTGGCCACATGGCAGCATGCTTAGTGGAGTGTATGTAGCAAGATTTTAAAGTTTGCCAAAGTATGTTGCTGTATTATCCTCTGTGAGCCTCCCTGCCACCTGCTGAGACAGGGACTCTTATTCTCTTCCTATGATACATTGAGGTAAAAGGTCAGGTCAACTTTGGGGAGGCCTGAAGCCTGGGCTCTGAGGACAGAGGAGCTAGGGCTGCCATGAGAGAGGGGCTCTGCATTGCTTGCTTCCAAGCCATTGACCCTATCCCCAGGGTCAATGGACTGCCCTGCCCCCCACTCCCCAGTCCAACAGCAGACTTACCTGGCTCGCCCTTGGGCCCTGGCAGCCCATCATGCCCATCTTTTCCAGGGGCCCCAGGCAGACCTGGCATCCCTGGGATCCCGTAGCAGCCTGTGTTGGCCTGGCCCCCAAGTGGTAGAGCCAGCAGGAGCAGCAGCAGGAGGAGTCCACGGCAGGGCCAGCAGCTGTCCATCCTGGGGAAGGATAGATATATGGCAAAGCTAGAGCCCAGCTCCTCCCTTCTCCTCCTCTCCTCTGCCTTGGGAGCCTACCTTGGGCCCCAGCCCTTCATCCTGGGGACCCCGTAATGGATGGGACCTATGGCTTCTTCTAAAGCCCAGGCCCTGGCAAGGAGTGGGAACCTCCTTCTTGTGAACCAAGCTGCCCTGGTGCCACGGTGCAGGAGGGTGGCCAGGGAAAATTGCTATTGGTTCTCACCTGGGCAGGGTCCTGGCCTCACCTGGGGGTGGAGGGCTTCCGGCTTGGTCACAGAAATGTCTCTGGCTCTGTGTCCCTCTCCCAGGCAGGACACAGTGTCAGAGTGCACAGAGCAAGGACTGCCTGGAGCACGGCTGGGCACCCCTTTCCCCTCCCCCACCGCTCTCCATCCCACATCCCCTTTCCCCTGATTTTCCCTGACTTGACACTTTCTCTTGGGTTCTGAGCCAGGGTGACCACAACGACACCCCCGTCCACCCTCCCTGCTTTGGCTTGGGTCTTGTGTGTCTGAAAGGAGGAACTGTCTGCAGCCCTGGAATCTGGTTTGGGGTGTGTGCCTGCATGTGTGTGCACGTGGGAGTGGGCAGAGCCAGGGCACAGAGTCCCCAGAATTGCTTGTGTCTGAGGATCTGTCGTTTCACAACTTTCCTAAGAGAAACTTTACAAATGAGGAAACTGAGGCCCAGGGAGGTATAAGCTCTTGCCTTAGGTCACACACTGAATGGTCTTTTAGAGTCCAAAGACTTGCTCTGACCGATGCGCTTCGCTATCCCCAGAAACAAGCCTTGCATGGACTTTTCAAGCAGCAGGACTTATTCTAGAAACATCGTTGTGATTACCCAGTTGCTACACTCGGGGGTGGACACCCAGGACAGACTGACTTTGCCCTGGCCACAGTGTCAGCAGCCTCCACTTCTTCTGGCTAGCTATTTCCTGTCCAGAAGACCTCTGGCACCACTACTGGCCCTCTGGGCCTCAGTCCACCCTCTATATACAGGGGGCCCAGACTCTGGGTGCCAGTGCCTGTTCCTTTGCTGGACACCATGTCTCCCTTGACAGTCTCACCTTCTCTGACAGCTCCACCTGCCCCTCCTCAATTCTGGTTGTGGAGCCTGTGATGGGGAGGGGCTCTGGCTGGGGTCAGCCCCTGCTTCCACACATACGTGATTTTAGGGATGAAGGAGACATTGGGCAGTAGTGGGTTCCTACCACCTGGACTTGATAGTGGTTTCACCTCCCTGGGTAGCAGTCCCCCGCTGAAGGGACTTCCCACAGCTTCCGAACAGGGCACAGCATGGACTCCATGCATAACATGCACCCTGTGCTCAGTCCTGCCCTGCCTTACTGAGTGACCTCAGGGCCTCCCTGTCTGTCCCTCACACTGAGGTACAGGGATGCAGAGTGTGGGGCAAGGCCAAGGACCTGGATGCAGTTGCCCCTGGAAGTCCTCGATGAGTGGAGGGCCAGAAGGAGCAGAAATGGTGGACTCTGCACGATGGAGGCAACCTAGGGAGTCAGGGCTTCCACTCCCATCTTCTGGCCTTGCCTCCTCTGCACCTGGGCCTGGCGCGTCCAGCAGGTGGCAGCCTCAGCCCACACTCAGCCTCCCTCTCTGCCCCGCCCACCTGGCGCAGCTCAGCACAGGCTCTTCCCCTTCTAGATGGTCCAGAAACTCTCTGGGGTGAAGAGGGTGGGGCTGGGTAGAATTTAGGGTAAGAGGCAGTCAGGCACTCCACAAATCCCCTATTGCTTAGTCTGGCCTTTCCTGCCACGTAGGGGACTCCACCCTGACATTTTCCTCAAGGCCCATTGCATTGACAGGAGCCCTCTGCTTTGGGGTCTGGCAGACCTGGCTTATATCTAGGCTCTGTCACTTTCTAGCAGTGGATCTTGGCAGATGCCTCCTCTCACTGAGTTTCATGGTCCCCATCTATTTTGCTGGGATTTAATTCACTGGTGGTTATGGAATGCCCGGTGCATAGTGGACTGTGGCAGAGCTGACCATGAAAGGCAGCTGAAGGATCCAGCAATGATCCGAGGCTACAGAGGGTCTGTGCTCTACCTGGGACCCCTCACTTCCTCTTGACTTCAAAGGCTATTGGAGGAAGGGTCAGGGACAGAGTCTGGGGCATGCATGTCAGAGGTGGCCAGACAGGATTGTGGACCATGAGGACTCCAAGACCATTCGAGTTAGATAGTGGGTGGGGGGATAGTCCCTGAATCTCAGGATGGCCTCATGGGCGTGTGAGCTTGCAGGGAATTGGTGTGGGAGAGAACATGGGATTTGTAAGAGTTGTGCATGTCAGGGTGGGAGGGGCTCAGTGGTCTGTATATGTATTTCAAGTTGTGTATGTGTGGGTGTATGTGCATGTGTGTGTGTGAGTGGTCTGTGTGTCCATGTGTGGTATATGTATGTGTGCACCCACACTGTGTGTGGCACAAAATAAAAGTAGCTTCCTTTGAGAAAGGACACAGGGAGCTTGAGCTCCTGGCCTCCTCATTGTACACATAGGAAGCACATGGTGGGTCTTGTCATTTCTGAGCAGTTCTGAGATGGACAAGAGGGACCCTGGGCATGACTTGACCATCCAAGATCTCCTGGTCCCCAGAACCAGTGGATGCCCAGCAGGCGGCTGGCAGCAGCCCCTCCATACCTGCCAGGGTGGAGGCCCAGGGCTCAATTCCTAGCTTCAGGGAGGTCTGCTGGGCACCCTTGGACATGTTGCTTCCCCTCTCTGACTCCTGCCCCCGGCTTCCTGCCCAGATAGGAGAAGCACCTCTGTGATTTGTCCAGTGCAGCTGGGGAGGCTGGGGAGAGTGGAGATCACACACACAGGTGTGGGCAGTGGCAAGCCTGATATTCAATCCCAGTTCCTCCCCTGGGATGCCGACCTGGGGCTTTACGTCCCCTGCCACAGCCTCAGTCCTTCTATGAAGCAGGGTCGTAGCACCCACCTTGGAGCTTGCTTATCAAGGTTAAGTGAAATAGAATATAGTTAAACCTTCACAGCCCTTACCCTGAGCCAGGCCCTGGTCTGTCACCATCATACATTAGGTCATTTAATCCTCTTACAGTCTCGTGCAGAAGGTCCCACTTTGCAGATAAGGAAACTGACGGCGCAGAAGTCACATTGCACGTGAAAGACAGCTGACGAGTGATGGGCTCTGGATTTGACCTGGCAGATGGGGTCCCAGCCCCCACTAAACACACCATGTAAACGCTGAAGCCACTGCTCAGCCACGGTCACCTTAGGCCTCAGGCCCAATGCCCAGAGTTGCTGTTGCCCCCAGGCCCACAGACTCAGGCTTGGATGTCCACTCCATTTATTTGGGGAAGGGCACTAAGAAAGGCCTTACAGTGTGCAGAGGGTGCCAGTCCTCCGGCTCTTGCCAGCCTCCTGGCGATGGCTAAAGCAGCGGTTCCCCCTTTACAGAGCAGAGCACACAGCCAGAGAGGAGGGGAGTGGCTGGGGGCCCCACAGCAGGACGGGGAGGAGGCCAGGGTGGGGTGGGCGTTCCCCTGGCTCAGGTGGAGGGGAAGATGAGGAAGCCACTGAAGATGCTGTCGACCTCAGGGCCCTGGTAAATGCGGCCCTTCACGGGGTCTTTCTCGATCCAGACCTGGTCTCCTCTTTGTAGTTGGAGCGCTGTGCCCCCTGACACCACTTGGAAAAGCCCCTTGCTGTTGTTGTCACAGAAGCCCACGATGCGCCGTGTCTGGCCCCGGGAGGAGGACATGATGAAAAGGCAGATGTCCCACTTGGAGACCACCTGGAAGGTGAAGTAGTAGTACCCGGGCACAGCGCAGAGGAAGCGGCCGGAGTGGTTCTGGTACGGGCCTTCCTGGTTGGTAATGACTGTGTCGAAGATGACTGTGTTGCCGCCCGTCGGAGGGTTCCGCCGAATGGCAGAGAAGGCTGGTCGTGGCTGGTCCCTAATGTTTCCTGGGTTTCCCTTGATGCCCTTCAATCCTGGGACACCACGGGCCCCCAGGGGGCCACTGGGCCCTGGGAAGCCCATGTTGCCAGGTCTTCCAGGAGGCCCTGGCTCCCCCTGGTCTCCTTTAAGGCCTCGGATACCAGTGCGGATGCCAGGGCTGCCTGTGGGGAGAAAGCCCATGAGGGTGGGAGATCTAGGGTCTGCCAATCCTCAGGGAGAGGGCTGGGGTCCCAGGGAGTTGTGAGGTGGAGGGCAGGGAATGCCCAGGCTTTTAAGACACTAATTCTGACTGGCTATGTGGCCTTGGGAAAGTATCTAGACCTCTCTGAGCATGTGCTTCATCTATAAAATGGAAAGAAGTGTAAACAGGTACTTGGGAGAGCTCAGGTTTTCAGAAACATAGGCTACTCTGGCTACTCTACTGCCCTTCCAGGCCACTGGCCCCTTCCTTCTGGACCTCTTGTGGGCACCTGGAGGCAAATTAGTGTGAGTCTGTGTGGCTGGAGCCCCAAGACGATGTGGGCAGAAAGGGGGACATGGAGAGCCCTGGGGGGAGGTCAGAGAGAAGGCCAGGGCCCTCAGCCTTGGGGCTGAGGAAGGGGCCTTCCTATGGAGCTCTGTGGACTCCTGTTTCCCTATCTCCCCGTCCCACCACCAGTCAAGGGGAGAGCACTTACCTGGCTCCCCTCGCTCCCCCTTGAGGCCTGGCCGCCCTGGTCGCCCAGGTTTTCCTGGGGTCCCGTCCTTTCCGTTGGGTGCTCGGCACACATCCTCGGTTACTGTGGAGGTCAGGGACACAGCCAGCACACAGGCCACCAGCCATACCCAGGGGGCCTCCATGACGTCACTGTAGGGACATATGGAGCCTGGGCAGACTGGATATGGTATAGCCACGCATACCCAGTTCACACACTGGAGTCCCAGACACACAGTGACCTATGTGTGTCCATCCCTAGTACACACACACTCAGGGACCGTGTGACATCAGAAGAACCTGCTCTGAGCACACCTGTAGTCACATACCACACACATGGCCTTCACCCATGTACAGCATGGCTGCACTCCTGGACACACAGACTGATACCCAAATAGACCCCCTCCCGGCCTCCTCTGGACACACACAGTCATACACTCCCACGGATGATCGATTTCATTGAACAAATATTTATTGAGCGTCTATTCCATATTTAATTAACACACTCTTCCCCAGATGGCGGAGCTGTGTGCACACAGGAATCACAAACACATCTGCTGACTCCTCTGCAGCTCAGCTCCTTTCAGCATCCACCAGAGAACTGCCAGCCAGCTGTCGCCCACTGCCCCTTCTCCTGGGCCCCACTGCTGGGCTCTGGCTCTCCTAGCCTTCTCCCAGCTTCTTGTGTTTGGGGGCCCAAGACCCAGGAACACCTCCCACCCTTCCCTAAGCTCTGCTCCGAGGGGTTAGGGTCCCTCCATTCACCTACTTTGAGTCTTGGATGAGTGTCCCCCAATCCTGTGCCAGCACAGTGAGCTGATAGCACTCTCCCTCCCAGCCTGCCTAGGTATCCAGCCCCTGCCTGCCCCCCCCACCACAGCCTAGCAGCCCCTCCTCTCAGGCCTGGTCTCACCTGCCTCTGGTTGCCAACTCCAACTGCCAGCTCCTGCCCTTGGCCCATGGGACGCCAGCAGGAGCATTGCCGGGCCCAGGCCAAGTTTCGCATTCCTTCCCACTTCCTCTTCCCCTTCTCCAGACCTGCCCCTGAATATCACCAGGCCAGAAGCTAGCCGGGAAAATTTTGAGCAAACCTCAGCAAGACTGGGACATGGGACGTCCCACCGCAGCCACAGCTGCTTGTAGGGCTGGGCGACTGCAAGGAAGGGGCAGTGGGAGAGTCCGGGGGCTGGGGGGGCGGTACAGAGAAGCGGAAGGGATCTGTTAAAAATCTGTAACTTGTGGGTCTTTCTCATAATTGTGAAAGCAGCACAAATTGATTGCCAGTAGCTTGGAAAAAACGAAGAAGGAAGAACAGTATGTGGGAGGCGAAAGCAGCACAGCCATCAGTCCTGAGACCTGCTTCCTCCTGGCCGGTCTTCAGGAAGTTACTCCACTGCCTAAGCCCACAGTTTCCTCATCTGTAAACGGGGACAGCAGATTCTAACTCTCACAACATTTTAATGACACATACATTAACACGGCACCTGGTGAACAAGACCATGAGTTTTTATCAATATTTTAAAAACAGCAACAGGACTGGGGGTGTGGCTAGAACGCTTGCCTGGCATATGTGAGGCCCTAAATTCTATCCCTAGCACTGCAAAAGAAAAAAAAAAAAAAACTATACCTATATATAAAGCTGCTACACTGAACTGCACCAGCTAGAGACCACTGCTGTGAGTGTTTGAATGGATCTTCTGGCCTTACTCACCTCACCGATGGGCCACTCATTTCCTGCCAGCACTTCCCCATTGCCTGCTGGGACCCCGAGAGTCCTTCTCTTTACATTGAGTGACTCTGTCTCACCTAGACTGGAGATTGGTGTGTTCAGGCCTGGGTGGACCATAGTTTCTGCATCTGCCCATGAGCAACGTGTGTTTTGTTTTTGCCAGAGGAAGGAGGAGGAGAGAGGAGAAAGGGAAGGCAGGTGTATGTGAGAGGTGGAAGCCAGGGTTTTCAAACTTTTCAGGATTCCTTTTCCACTTTGAGCTCATGTGGCATCCAACATATGTCAAACAGACACCAATGGGTGGCTTTGGTTGAAGGGTGGAGCCAGAGGGCATCCTGCCAGTCCCTCTTTTCTTCCCCAGGACACAGGAAGTAAGTAGGGTCACACAACACTCGCTGTGTGACTTTGGGCTTGGGAAAGCCAAATCCCTTCTCTGGTCCTCAGTCTTCTCATCTGTAAAGTAGAAATGATACACAGTCTCCTCCTTGGGCTACTGAGGGATTCTATGAATTTACCTGGAAGTTTGTGCTGTCAAATGCCACATTGAAGAAAAGTCACCATTGTGACGGATACCTGTGTGACCTTGGGTAAGTTGCCTCACTTCTCTGAACCTCGATTTCTCCACCTACCAAGACAAGGGAGTAGGTGGGAGGCAGGGAGTTGGCCCCAAATGGCCTGACATCCCTTCCAGGAGGCATCTTCTTTGTATCATGTGAGCCTCGCTTCCCTGCAAGAGGAGCTAAAGACAGGATGTCAGACTGAAGTATCAACCCCATTCTACTAATGCAGAAACTAAGGATCAGAGGCAAAAAGAATTGTCTGAGGTCACACAGAAAGGGCATGAGGGAAAATCAGATACTATAGAAAACTCCTTAAAGTATAATTTTCAAAATGTGAAATGTAATTTTTATAGAAATAGCTATAGAATAAGAACACATCACTGGGCATGGTGCATGCCTGCAAACCTAGCTACTTGGGAGGCTATTGCATGCGGCAAGAGGATTCCATGTTTGAGACCAGCCTGGGCTACATCATAAGACTCTTTCTCAAAAAAAAAAAAACCAGTTAACTTTTTTTTAGCTTATTGGTGAAGGAACCAGCAATGCTAGTTCAATGAAGGAAATGAAAAAACCCAAAATGACATATACCTATGCACGGAGAGAGAAGAGAGAGATTCGGTAAAAACAGTAGAAAGAGATTCTGGAATAGTCATAAGATTGCTAAGCTAAATAAAAAACTGGTTAACATTCTAAAGGGCAATAAAATCATAAAGTTGGCGTCACCTTCTCTATTGGAAAGATATCATTTGCATCTCTGCTAGACAAAAATAATTTGCAACTTATCTGTTTTCTACCAGCTACAAGCTATCTTCAGAGTCTGGGCCTTAATCGATAGTAAATAGTAAGTCAAGAAAAGTGACATTCCCCTAGAGTGTCAGATGACCCTTTGGAGGGTTCGAACTTGACTTTGAAAGGACACCGTTATCTATTTGCCTTATTTCCAAGTGCTGGATGATTTTACTTATCAGGCTGTTGCAAGAGTATAAATGCCTCCCAAGAAACAGAAGCATCAATACTGACACACATGTATTAGTGTGAAAAGCAAGTGTGTCAGCAATAGTTCAGTGAATGTCACAACAGGGACACCTTCGGGAGGACAGGATGGGGGTGGGCACTTCCTTCCATTTCTCCAGAGCTCAGACTCTAGAGGGGAGGCAGGAGATGTGGGGATGAGAGGGATCTCCTAAACGGAGGCTCACAAGGTCATGATCCACGAGGTCCAGGCTCGGGAGTCAAAGGAATAACCTAAAGTGACTTTTAATTTGTTGCAATTCTTTACCGTGGGGTCACATCTCAATCAAGGGTTAGGTTCCAAAGCCAGGGCATTGGTGATGATTGTATTTGGTCACTGCGGGGCTGGGGCGTAGCTCAGTGGTAGAGCACTTGCCCAGCATGCACAGGCTCTGTGTTCCATCGCCAGCACTGGGAGAAAAAAATAATAATGCTGGGAAAAAATCTGTGGAAAGTGCCACATTAGACCATAGCTTCATTTCACTGCTATCACTTTGGGTTTTGATATTAGAACGGATTTCTTATTCAGTTGAGAACCAGTTGTCTAATATTAACCAAAACCCCCCATTCCCCCCCGCCACCACACACACAAAGGAACTGAGTCTTTGAAGACTGGAATGATACTCAGTGTGAGGTGTTTAGACCAGGAAGGGGTCACAGGAGCTGAGGCAGACCTGGGGACAGCAGGGCTCCCCCAGAGAGCCTAGACTGTCTAACAAAACCCTTTCCCTTATTTAAACTGCTATTTCTAGGTCTTTCTTTGAGAATCTTATTGGGCAAAGTCAGGTGGTCTGAGTGTCTTCCATTTCTTCTTTTTCTTCACAAAACAAAATTGAGGCATACTTTGCACACAGTAAGATGCGTGATCATCGGTGCCCTGTTCTGTGTGTGCATACCTCTGTCACCTCCACCCACCCTAGCAAGGGGCCTCGAGTTCCCCGGATCTACAGAGCTTCTTCAACCACGAAGTACAGTGCTCTGCTTTCCATCACTGTGGCTCTCTCTGCCTGCTCTTGAACCTCAGGATGATAGAATCCTGTGCTTTTGTGTCTGGCTTCTTCTGATGAATATAGGTGTCGCTGGTGTCAGCTTGGCGGTCACTGCCCACTGCTCCCCATTGCACGGGTCCATCACACTTGATTTGGCAAGTCCATCCACTCTCTCATCGATAGCTGTGTGACTGTGAGGAATACACTGCTAAGAACATTCTTGAACAAGTCCTCTGTCCACCCAGCCCTGTGCACAGAAGAGCTCAACTCTGCTGTGGTGTTTACTCCACAAAAGGGGAAGCGCTTACACCTGCCTGCCTCTCTCTCTCCCCACAGAGCTCTCTCTTCAGCGCTCTGTCCCCCCAAAATCTCTGGACCCTCAGCCTAAGCCACCTTTTCTCCCTTTCTTCTCTCCCCTCTGCCTTTTATTATGGCGATTGACTCAGTCCTGTCTTCCTTGCTTAGTCCTTCTCCTCCTCCTCCTCTGGGTCTTTCTTCCACTCCCTCCAATATCAGACAAGTACTGGGGGACCCAGCATGGGAAGCCACCCCAAGAGAGCCTGCCAAGGTCTCCAGCGTGCATTCCTTGTTTCCCTTGGCTGATAAAAATGCATCTTGGAATGGGGGGCCCAGTAAACAGCCATTTGTCATGGAGACAGAGGCAGTGTGGCAGGCAGCATGGGTTCAAGGTCAGCATCTGTGTCCCTTTTGTTATAAGCCAAGAGTGATAATGGACCTGAGCAGGTGGGCACCAAGTCCTCTGAGGCCTCCAGAGGGCAGCATGGCCTATCTGTGGCATATGGTGGCACGTAGTGAAAACAAAAGTCCCTCCTTCCCCCACTTCCCACTTAGAGGGCCAGTGCATGGTGACCTTTGATTAGTTTGGAAAAGGAAATGTAAAAAGAAGATAAAACAAACTGAGAGTGGAGGCTCACACCTGTAATCCCTGGTAGGTGGGAGGCTATAGGTAGGAGGATCACAGTCTGAGGCTGGCAGGGGTGGGGGGTGTACAGTGTGAGACCTCTCTGAAAAATAACTAAAGCAGAAAATTCTGGAAGCATGGCTCAAGGTAGAGCACCTCCTAGCAAGATCGAGACCCTAAGTTCAAATTTCAGCACTGAAAAACAAACAAACAAAAAAGCTAAAACAAGACAAAAGTGATTTCTTTAGGGGAGGCTGAAGGAATGTAAGAAGAATAAAGTCTCCTGACCCATCCTTTGACCCTGCTGGAGGCCAGTGTCCTGGATGCCCAGAAAGGCATCAGTCAGTCCTAGGAGGGGCCAGGTATGCCTCCCAGGAGAGGTCCCCACAGCACACCCAGCTAGAAGACCCTAGGTGAACAGGCAGAGAGCTGTAAGTGATTAGGAGGACTAGGAGAGAGTTTGGAGAACAAACAAAGCCGGCTGTGGGAGCCAACAGGAGGACGCTCCTCCACCTTTCGAGGGCTGTCCTCTGGCTCCTGGGGGCTGCAGGATCCTACAGCCTGAAAATGGGGCACTCAGAAGGTTGGGAGGATGCCAGCCTCCTTGGGGTGCACATATAGACTCCTCACAGGCCTGAGGGTCCCAGGAGAGCAGACAGAAGAAGCCCCTCATCTGCCTGTCATGGTGCCTGAAATTTCACCGTGTCCAGTCTCTTCGTGAGGTGAGCATCGCCTCTGCAGGATGGAGAAGCAGAAGTGGCAATCCCCATGCACCTGCAGGATGCCATCAGCCCTCCCAGGCGAGCCTACTGCATGCTGGGCTTCCTACTAGGTGCATAAAGCACTGTCTCATTTTGTCATCAAACT